TTTGTCTCGCTAAAAACACAAGATAACAAAGAGGTGGGGGCTGTTTCGCGCTTGGTCACGTAATGCAGACATGCTGGGGGTGTCTTTGCAGGCCCCTCCTGCCAACCGTCGGCAGATCCATAACCATTGTTTAATAGCCAACCAAACAAAGAACTTGCAGCGTAAGGGAGCCCAACTTTTCCAGATTCTTTTCCATGGGATAAACTTTATTGAGCCAACGAAAAGGGCTTCATATGCGCAGACTTGCCGTGTAGATTCCAGATTGGGTCACTTCCAGAGGTGTTGATCCGGGGTATCCTGATTTCGATGGACACCATCTAACTGATCCCAAAGTAACAGTACTCCATCAGGACCTCCACCGAGAGGCCTCCTCTAATATCTCGAAACCCAGCCTTTGTGCACGTACCATCGTGTTCTAGATTTGACAACTTTCTTAGGAATAGTCTCAAATGCATTAGGAGCAATTTCAGCCATAATTTTTCCATCCAACCATCTGCCTTTCCGAATAGGATTGTTTCCCCATTTCCAACAACCGAGACCACTACCATGTTAAATAAGGCTTGAGCCTTTTGGGGTACCTGGATATGAAGACCAGCCCAAGGACGAGAATGATCTGCTTTTTTAGCCCAAAGCCATCTAATCCGCAATGCCCAACCAAAGGACTCAATGTTGTGTATGCCCAAACCTCCATATTCCAAAGGGCGTTGTACCTTTTCCCATGAGACCGTGCAATTTCCAAGATTTGCTCACATCGTCCTTTCCCAAAGGAAACCCCACCGTTTTTTGTCAATAGCTTTGATAACCCATTTGGGCAGGTCAATAGCCAAAAGATGATGTATCACGAAGCCATGAGAACCACCCTAGTCATAATCAAAGTGGCTGCTCTATTCATCGTGGAGGCTTTCCAACTTGGGAGGTAACCAAAGAACCTTGTCAATCGAGGCGAGAGTACTTCCTTGGAAGGTTTTCGATTGTAACCGTAAGCCCAAATAAGTGCACGGAAACTCCTTTGTGGAGCATGCCAGGTGCTTCAAATTTGTTGTACCTCTTCTCCTGTGAGCACCTTTGAATTGGGAAAGTGAACTCTTGGAGAAGTTTGTATGGAGTCCAGAGGCCTGACCAAAATATCCAAAATATGTTTCATTGTTCGAGATCATCCACACATGGTCGAAGGAAGATAACATCATCATCTCGCATAGAAAGAGGCCCTATGAATGGTCTCATTGAACCGCGAGGGGTTGCGTAAGGTGGTGTCTCGTGTCATATTTTATCAAGGAATTGAGAACATCCATTACCAAGATGAATAGCATGGGTGAGAGAGGATCACCCCGCCTAAGACCACGATGGTGGGAAAAACCAGACCCCCGCTCACCATTAACCAATACCGAGTAGACGAAGTAGACAAAGACTAAGCATATAAGGTTACACCACCGCTGTCCAAAGCCCGGATGGCGAAGAACCTCCAACAGAAAAGGCCAAGAGACAGAGTCAAAGGCTTTTGAGATATCCAACTTTAGGAGAACATGCGCTTTTTTTTTCCCATATGCAAAGCCTTGATCATCTGTTGTACAAAAAAGAAAGTTATCATGTATGTTCCTTCCTCTAATGAAAGCGCCTGATTGGGAGGGACCAGGCTTGGCAAGAGAGGAACCAAATTGTTGGCCATGATTTTTGTCACCAACTTGGCAAAACTATGAATTAAACTTATGGGCCTAAAATCCTTGACCGAGTTGGCATCTTGCTATTTTGGTAAAAGGGAGATGAAAGCTGTGTTGAGCAGCTTGAAACGAGCCACATGACCTCGATGTATAGCCGATAAAGCCGACATGATGTCGTCTTTGATAATACCCAAAGAAGATTTATAAAATCTGCCTCTGATCCATCGGGTCCTGGGGGCTTTGTCCAATGGCATCTCCTTTATTGTAGCCCATACTTCTTCCTCTCGTGAAAGGGCTCTCCAACGAAGAGAGATCATGTCTTTGAATCCCAATTTCGCAAAGTCAATGGTATATTCCTCTCCTCACCGTGCCCAACAAATTCTCATAAAACTGCAGGACTGCTTCCTATTTATCTTCTTGGTCGACTACTGTTTGATCACCCACTTGCAACTTTGCAATGAAGTTTTTCTTCTTCCTGTAACGGGCTTGCTGGTGGAAAAAGGACGGTTAGCATCACCTTCTTTCAAAGTACAGAACTCTAGAACGGAGGCGCAGCAATAGTATGCGCTCAAGAGAAGCCAATCACAAACAAAGAAAGCTTAAGTTTCTTCCTCAGCCATTCCTCACTTGGAGAAAGATCCTCGAATCCCTAGCAATCTCAAGATGACGCAAAAATTTCCTTGACTGTGCCTAGCTGAAGCTTGACATTACCAATTTTCCGTTGGCCCCATTTCTGAAGGTCCCGCTAAGTCTCTCAAGTTTGAGGAAGAGCCGCTCAATCTGCAGCAGATGAAGATACTCGAGCATTCCAATTCGCTTGAACTGCTTCAGAAAAATCGGACATTTTAGTCCAAAACTCTCAAAAATGGAATCTGCGTTTGCCTCTTGTACTAACCTTCAAACCCAGAACCAAGTGGGCAATAATCGACACAATCGAGGCGCTGCTCAGGACGGCATCAGGAAGATATCCTCCCAATTAACACAGCAGAAAGCTCTATCAAGCCTCACGAGGGTGGGAGAAGATCTTTCATTAGACCATATGTATTTCCTTCCTAACAGAGGAGGATTTCTTTAGCCTCAACATCATCTAGGAAGCGCTGAGCCGACCCATCATTGCTCGATCCAAATTGGTATTGTTTTTATCGTAAGCTTGGTATATTAAGTTGAAGTCCCCGCTATCACCATGGGCCGAACATAAAGCTCGCACATCACGAAGCTCTTGCAAGAGTGCTATCTTATCAACATCATCTTGAGGACCATAGACTCCTGTAAACCACCAATTGCGACCTTCTTGTTCCTCAAATTGAACTGAGATAGAATAATTATCCACTCTGGAAGCTAGGATCTGACAGATATTGCTTTTCCAGGCAATCAAGATCCCTCCCCTCGTACCATCAGCTGGCAGTTCCACATACTTGTCATAAGTAGTGCCAAAAACTGAGAGGAAAATTCTCTGATTCATAATAGCAATTTTGGTTTCTTGAAGACAGACCACAGGAGCATTTGAGGAACGTATTACATCACTTACAGCATTACACCGGCTTTTTTTTTATTAAGGCCTAGTCATCATGAGTGCCGACGTCCTCGCCTCCTACGCATTGACATCTTCCTCAAACAAGGCGTCGTCAATAGGGATGGCAGTGAGGCAGTTTTTGGTCATCAATAGTGGAACAACATTTTCTATTTTTACACACTTCTATTATTTACTAGGTTAATGCACGTGCATTGCAACGGGAAAAAAATTATAACCATTAGAATTGAAGTTTGACATATGTTGTACCATTACAAAAAAAACGATGTTAAGAGTGTGGTTCATAATGACAAGATCTATATGACCTATATAGATTGTACACATTAAAAGTCATTAATGGTTAATTCTCTACTCTGACATCAAGCCACATCATCGAAATTTCTTTTGTCTGGCCGTCCACTAATCATACATGGTACATCATCTCCTCACCTCCTTGACAGATTAAGGTCCTTCGCATCCGTGCTTTTGCTTCTTTGTTTGCCAACCAATGCTGCTTAGGTTGTATTCCTATGATATAGCATATCCATCCATTCTTGCTTTTACAGCCACTCTTTGGTAAGTCAGCCATGAGGTGCATATATGCAGATATCAGCATAGCACATATCTGAGAGAAAGCAATACAGAAATATATCTACAGGGATTGATAGTACAGGGTGCTCACTTTAGCTAGCATGTAAGATAAATAAGCCATTAGCATCATAATGGAAACTTTATAGTACCAAACACCAAACTGCAAAAGGAGGGTGTCTCATCTTGGCTTAACACCTGCAAGATGCAAACAAAGTCTGTCACTCAGAATATTATCCCAAGTGTTGAAATTACATACAGTGGGAAATAAAGAAATCCAGTGTAAGAAAAATATAAGTAGTATGTGCATGTAAGCTGCAAGATTCCAATGTAAGAAATGGAATTCTCAGAGGCAGGGATTGAACTGCTAAACTAAACAGACTTTAATCAAAAAGGTTAACCAAATTTGCTATCATTAAATGGTCAGTATTACGTTGAATTGAGGAAGTTTAACTTACAAATTATCACAAAGTAAGCATCAGTATGCAAATTTCAACGGAAAAAAAAAGCTTTCCATGGAAACAGCCAACATGTTAAGTAATACATACAATCCATGTGACACGGCTCTTCATTTTTTGAAGTCTTTGCATATACAAGATACAAGAAAATGAAGATGGAAGTAATTTCGTACAGAAACATCTTCTAATCAATGCATTTGAATGTGAACACTGAAGTACGAACACACCTTTTTTCAGCAGGGAAGTGCAGCCTTTTTTTTGACCGAAGCTAGTTGCTGCCTTAGGTTGCCCAATTTTTGTCATCACCTCCATAACCATCGTACACTTGATCTTATGGCCCATGTGTGCTCTATTATGTCACTCAGATGGTAAAGGTCCCAAGTGGCCAGTCCAAGCTACAGTAGGTTCCTCCAGTTCATTCCTGGAAAGCTCAGTCAGTTGTGGAGTCCAGTTCAAATAAGAAAAGGACAATGACAGTAGATCAAAATAGCCTATCCCGAGAGTAAAGTGGCATATCTTGAGGTCTTTGACTGCATTTCTCAGTCTGTTTGATATGCAGAATGGCTAATATTTCTTATATGCCATATATGGAGAAAGATTTAGTTGCACAGTCACAATGCAGCTTGACCGGAAATAGATTATAAGAAGTAAATAAAATATCTCATTTATCCTTTTCATTTACCTCGTGTATGAAGGCATGCTAGATCAATATGAAGAGGACCCGTCTGGTAAAATAGAAATAGATGCACATGAAATCCTCACCAGTGACGCATTTCGTCAAACACCTCATGGTCTACCGTCCACGAGCACACGACTCCACCAGGCACAGAGGGACAAAGGGGCATCCCCACGAACGGCTTGCCCGCTGTTTAGTGCCTGCGGCCGGGCTCGGCTGCCAGCTGCCGGCTGCGCGCTGCGGCTTGCAACGCGGTGACGCCTCCCCGGTGCCCGCCTGCCCGCCGGACGACCAGAGCTCGGATGCGGGATCTGGCCTGTGCGCTCCACGCCTGCGCCGCTGCCCTGCTCGGCGGCCTCCGCAGACAGGGAAGAGAGGGAGGCGAGGGCGGTTGCCAGGTGGCGCAGCGACGCGGAGCAGGGGGCGCTCGGCCGAGACGGGGAGGGGAGGTGGCCGGGCGGCATGGCGTCCAGGTGGTGCGGCGGCGTCATGACCAAGCACGAGACGAGGTGGGCGGCAACGGATGCGGATGGGGATTGGGGAGGGCGAGGCGGGCGACGTGCTCCTGGGCGCCTGGCCCACATGTCGGCGCAAATAGGAGTTACGGAGGTGTGATGGCGCTGCGGCTTCACCACAACTGGCCAGACGGGTCCCGTATTTTTTTTATTGTAGAGATAGAGATAAACCATTTAACAAGCACAATCAATAACTCAGTCATACATGTACAAATAAATCTGAAATTTTTACCACAGCACATGAATCACATGATAAAATTTTCATAATATGTGGAGCACAGAAACTACAGATATGAATTTAACCATAGAAAACCCTAAATAGTATAAATATAATTCTACAGAGAAAACTTTGTACTAACACATGCCACATTATGCTTCTACTGCATAGATCTACTAACAAAGATTTCAAAACATTTTCATTTTTCATTTTATGATTTTTCTATGAATTACTATGCATTTTAGAAGTTTCAGCCGATTCCCTGCACAAAGAAAAAGATTAAAACGAAAAGGAAAAACACTTTGCACTGAGATCTCTGGATGTCGGGTACCATAAAAAGGGGTACCCAAAGAAAGACCGAAAAAATTGCTTAGGACTTGTAAATATCGAAGCTAAAATACAACCGCAGGCAAACCCCCATTTCATCCGAGGCCCGGCTGGATCGCCCGGCCGACCTCGAACAACATCCAGGCATGACCAAAGCAGGCTCGACCCAGAACCGCGCCACGAGGCCTCGGACGAGCCACCGATTCTCCGACTCGCTCGAGGCCCCGCGCTACGAGGCCTCCGACGAGCACCCAGTTACCAACTCGCTCGAGGCCGGCTCGACATCAACCCCGTCACCACCGCTTTGACCGACTTCTCTGACGGGACGTCACATCCAACTAAAGCGTTCAACCACTCCCACAACGTCAGCCGCACGACGGCACGGTATAGCGGAGTGGCCGACGAGACGGAAGTCACATCAATGCCCTGCCATCCGGACAGACGGGCGGGGTTACCGTCACCGTGGTTGGCATCGCGCTCACGGCCGACGCCTTATGCTACTGTCAGGTCGCCTAACCCCGCTCCAAGGACAACAAGTGGAAAGTCATGCCCGGTCCTCAGAGCCTCGGAATCGGCATACAAGGCCAATTGCTCTCTCCGATCCTCGGCTAACCGCCTCCGGTTCCTCAGAGCCTCGGGGCTTGCGCCGCCGAGCCCCCCCACAATGGTTCACCGCACCGACCGGGCCTCGGCTCTCTCGCCGACGACGAAGCCGGGACCGCACGTCGCCGGGCAAGACGCGCCACGCCCAAAGTCAGTGCAGGAGCTCCCACGCCGCATACACAGGCCTAGCTCTTGTAGCCTTGGAATCAGCGCACCAGCGCCGTCATCAACCCGGCCTCTTCTCTCGCCTCGGTCAAACCTACAAAGGACCAAAGACGTCTCCAATGAAGAAGGCGCACTGCCGGGCACCACAGAGCTCCCACGCCGCACAGATCGGGCGTGACCGTAAGCGCCGCTCCAAAGGCACCGAAGACAAGACCGCTCCACCGACCATACCGCTACAGTGACAAACTGCAGGGCTCGGACATGCCGCCTCTGCCAAAGAAAAAACGCCACGTAGCAAATACATGTACCGCCCCTGCGCCTCCCTTCGACTATAAAAGGGAGTGACCAGGGCCGCTCCTAGGCTTGACACACCCGTACAAGCGACGAACAACAACACCCTATAACGCACACACTCCTTCATTGCAAGAGATCAACATCTCAAGCAACCCGCACTACTCCTCACAGAGACCTGGGTCTGGCTCCCTCTCTCGCTCAGCTTGTAAACCCCTACTACAAGCACCTCGGTGCAAAGAATACAAGATCGCTCTCTCAGACTGGACGTAGGGCACCTATTGCCTGAACCAGTATAAACCTTGTGTCTCTTTGCATCACCATCTGGGATTAGGGACACGCAGTACATTTTCACTCATTGGTTGAGGACCCGCCGGTCCAAAACACCGACACTGGACTTTTCACAAATCAACCTACAGTTCTAAGCACTGTTTCACACTATTCACTTGAGTCATGATCTTTGTAACTAGAGCCCTGGAAAAGCTTCTAATTCAATTTTCTCCTTCTCTTCTTCTTCCCACGGAGAGAGAGCAAGGGACGACGGACGGGTCGGCCAAATCTCGGCGCGGTGGTGCTCGGTAGCGGCTGCGTGCGCAATGGCGAAGGTGAGGGCATGTTTGGCATGGCAGAGGAAGGCCAGAGAGGGCACCCTACAACTCCTCCGTGCGGCGGCCAGGCAGCAGAGCGCAGAGCCACGCAAGGAGCAGCGAACTCGGCGGCGGACATGGCGATTCAAACTCGGGATTCTAGGGTTTGAGTAAGCAGCGAAGGAATGGCATCAAGGAGGGTTGGTGGCGCGCTTGGCAGACAAGGATACGGGCTGAGGTGCTGCGGTGGCAGTGGAGTTTGCGGCGGTAGGGCTTGGCCCGGCTTGGCGGACGTGGCTGAGCATAGCAGCGAGTTGAGGGCGAGCGCTAGGAGAGCGAGGGAGGTGAGGGGAAGCGAGCGCGAGTGAGGAGGGAGCGTCTGCAACCGCATCAATGTGAGGGGGAGGTAGGAGCGCGTGGAAAGGAGGTGGGGTGCTCAGCTCGCACATGGCTGCCACAAAGACATTCCGTGGACACCTGGTGGGCGCGAGGCTGACTGACTTCGGGTCCGTTTTTCAACATATTCCCAGCAGATTCGGATCCTAGTGCTTAAACCAACTTAGTTCATCTCTGGTTGCTCTAGAAACTTGATTAAGGGCGCCTAGCTATTAGAGTCTTCTATTAGTAGCTAATTAGGCTCTAAAGTGGCAGTGGCAGCGTGTTGATAGCGATTAAGGAAATGTCAACTTGATGATCAAAATGAAGTCCAACTGAACCCAAACTTTCATTCTTGGATCAAATATTGGTGCTTGACAAAAACACCGGAACGCGCTATGCCAACTGTCATTGCCAGCTAAACAGCCCAGACTTAGAATTATTTTGGAGAGGGAAAACAGCAGCAGATTAGAACTTGGGACCTCTGTTTGATAAGGTTAGATGTGGAATTAGACCTTGGTCAAGAAACAAAGTTTGCAGCTCACAAACTAAACCACAACTTTCCTAAAGGGTCAAACACCAAAACAAGTACAGAATGTGCAGTTCTACTTTGGTCAAAACAGCATCATGAAAAAGGTGCTAACTATTGGTCCAACCTTTAGAAGCATTTTTAGGCTAGTTCATCAATATGAACCCTACCACATTTTTTATCCTAAATTGTCCTTGGTTATTTAGGTGATTAAACAACACTTGGTTATATTATCAAACATCACCAAGAGGATTGCATAGCAAACAAAATATCACATGAACAAACAAATGCATCCACTCAATATTATGCTCATGCTTATGTGATGCATCTAAAAGAGACATGATTAACACTACGCAAACACTGTTTGAAAAGAATTACATCAAGCACAAGAGTTTTGTATTTGTCTTTCAAAAAGTTTAAGCTGGGGCTCATTTTTGGGGAAAAGGCTTCAACACTTTCGTCACCACATGTAAAGAGGTTGAACTAAAGCTCATGACCATCACTTGACATAACTTGTTTCAGTCCATACCCGCTGCTTAACTTGTGACTAACACCTGGGGTGTTACAGCCCTCCCCCTTAACAGAATCTCATCCCGAGATTCGAAGCGAAAGGCTTTCAAGGGAAGAGAAGCATGTCATCAACTTTCAACTGTTGTGATAACACAAGGCTACTTAACCCCTGAGCACAAGAGAGGCTATTAGGGAAGGACAGCTCTTCGATCTTTGACGTCGTTTTATAGTTAGCTCTTGTCTAGAGAATTTCCTTCACTGACTCCCATGAAACAAGGGATGGAAGTGAGAGTGGTACAAACATTACTATCTGGTTTGCAGATTCTTTGCTGAATATTGTTCTGTAAGACACAACCTTCATAGCTACCAAAGAGTCATTACCAAGCTAGAGATTAGCCGTCCCACTATGGTAACTAATCAGTTGTCTCTCAACACTAAAAGCTCCAAGGCTTCAACTTTTGCAGCAAGCAATCTCAAAGGACACATCCGTATGCAAGTAGTCACCATCAAAGTCCTTTGTCTACCACCTCTTGTAGTCTGCTGATGCTTATGTCCATTACCAGCTCCTCAACGGTTATCCTCCTTGCAACTTCCAAAGGAAGTCCTACTGCATCTGATCTGATATATGGTTCTCCTGATAGGATATGGAGAGATAACAGAGGAAAAACTCACGATGAGATAACACATCGATGTAGTTCCATAATGGATCATGATTACAAACCTCGATACCAGCGTGTGCCAAGTAGCTCATCCTTGTGTGCGTGCCCACAGGAGGCTCTCGGTTTCGTCGTGGCACCGCCAGTCATTAATCAAGACACCATTAGCGAGCATACAACCAACGAGAAATCCCACGTGAAGCTGATTGGGTCGTGTATGGACATGCATTATGTGAAGGAGGGGTAGCAAACAAAGATGGCCATAAGGTTTGGAGTCAACAATGAGGTGATCCAAAGATAAAGACAGCACAAGAAAAACATAGATTAACTACCGAAGACAACCGAGCATGAGACTTTTGCCTTAGTTCCACGCACGCCTTGCGTCCACCAAGGAGATTTCTAGATCGACGATCAACATGAGATTGGGACTGGTGGGGCAGCTACATGAGGTCAAGGCCGATAAGCATTCAGAGATTTGGTCGATAAAGCAACAGCAAGATTCATACGCATAAGTACAAAGCAAATGCACAAAGGAATGGCATGGATGACATGATGCAAACGTAGGGGTTGCTCACAAACATAGCATCCATCTACAGCAACACAACCACACCTAAACATGCAAAACATGGTGGCAAGGTGTTGTTATCTTTTATTTTTTACTGAGTAGGTGTATATCTCTTCTCCGGTAG